GGTAGAAACCAGGCTTCCTACTTGGCCTGTAGCAGGGCGGGTAAGGACATCTCATCACTGCTTAGTGGGAGTTCTGGCTCCCTTTAGGGCCTCTACTGACACCACCCTGCATGGGAGGGGGAGGGTGCCTTCTCATTGCTCCCCACGTGACCTCCACTGACACAAAGTGGGGTGAGTGGGGCCATTATCACTGGAAGGTGGTGAAAGTCCTGGTTTCCTGCCTGGAGTTCTCTGATACCTCCCTGACAGTGGCACCGGGGATACCTCATCACAGCCAGGTGCAAACGGAAGTCAGGGCTCTTTGTCTTTGCTGATAGCAGCCGGGTGGGGCTGCAGTGTTTGGTGTTTCTTGTTCCTGTACCCAGGTACAGCCAGCTTTTGTTGGCGTTGTTTCTTTTTCTTTTTTTGTTTGTGCCGTTGGTGCTTGTGGATCACTGGCTTCTCTAGTACCCAGTCCAGGATAGAAGAAGCGAAAGTAAACCCAGACAAATCATAACCGTGTCTTTCCTCAGATCTCAAGTTCCCCTGCTAATCTGCCGTCTTCATTCCGCTTGTCCAGTTTCCTTATGTTGTTGTATATATAACGCCCAGGGATTTTAGTGCTTAGAGAGAAGAATAGGGAGAAGTGTATCTATTCCATCTCGGTGCGGAACCAGAAGCCCGACAAAGCGCTTTTAAATGGCCATTTCCCCTCAAAGACATAACTCTGATCATGTCTCAACCTTCCTTAAAAACTTCCTTGTCATTAACATGCAACTGTCCAAAGGATAAAATTCCAACCCTTTCACATTGACCTTTAAAGCTCTTCACTATCTCAGGACAAGTAATAGCAGCCGTATCTTTTGCAGCTCCCCACCGTGCACATGTCTCCATCTACACGGGGTTTCTCACGTGCCATTTCTTAAATATACCACGGCTTTCGGTGCCTCGTGCGCACGCTACTGCACACACACTCTGCTGGTCCTACTGTTCTCTTCTCGGCTTGGCACGCACCCAGCTATACTTCAAATCTGCCTCTTGTATTGCCGACTATGAAGCCTTTCGTGACTCTCCCAGAGTTACCTTAGCACCATGAACATACCTTGATAAGCTGTTTCTCATTGGAGTTGATTTCTTCTACTAGAGCCCTTTGAGGTAGAATTATGTCCCTGTGCCTCTCTGTCCCATTCAACTGTAAATTCTCTGAGGTTTGGGGCTGGGCCTGCCTTAATCATCAATGTACCCTCAGCACACAGCACTGTGCCTGGCACATAGATGGCACTTAACAAGTGTTTATTAAATGAATAAATGAACTGTTACTTGCATACTAGAACAACCACATTGTCCTCAGCTCATATGACTAGGCTACCTGAGGCTGCCTCCCTTTTGGCATCACCATATAGTCCTTTTTATTTTTCCCCTTGAACAAAGTGACTTTGGGAGACTATCATGATTTAACCACTTGCCAAATCTGCTCCTCCCTTCCTGAGGACCACCTGCTTTCAGGTTGTCCTCATATACTTGCTGCCACCGCTGGTTGACCATTTGAAAGCAGGGCTGCCTCCTTGCTGGGCTGATAGTGGTCTGTAAAACCCATTCTTCAGGCCCCCTGAACCCATCGGTCCAGCCTTGAATAGACTGAAGCCCCTACCTGTGACCAGTTGTATCCAGGCAAGGACTTTCTTGGCCAAGCCCTTCCAGAACATGGTCTTTTACTGAGAAACAAAATCGTTTTGGATACATGGTCACCTTGCTTATCTATCTTTTGATTGTGCTGGCTGGAAGAAATTTAACAGCAGCCCTTCTTCGTGAGATTTCAACATCTGACATATTTGAGATTATAATAGCTTCTTTCATTTTTATGACCCTTCACCCATATGTTCATCCTTGTCAGTCCCAAATTACTCAACGTGTTATCTTGATGCTTATAGTAACGTAGTGAGTGAAGTTGTGTATACACACACACTCACACACACACACACACAACACACATGCACATCCACACATACACATATGTGCACACAGGATATTAAAATTGTTGCAAGTCAAAACTATTCCATTATACCCACTGACATGTTTCAAGAATTTTGATCCGTTGACCCCTATATTTTGTTCTCATTTATAAATGGCCATTGGTTTCTATCGGTTGTAGTCAATATCTGATCCTAATACTGTATATAAGCTCGTGCACACATAATCGCTCCACTTACCAAACCTACTTGATGTGGCCAGGCACTTTTTACAGGCATAATTTTGAATTCTTCTAGCCATCCTGCAAAGTAGACTTTGTCATCCACGTCTTACAGGTGAGGGAGCTGAGTTTCAGAGAAGTAGTCGTATCTGAGCCAGGATTGCCTCCGCCTCAAAGCCCATGTTCTTTTCACGACACCTTTTGGCCTTTCAATAAAAAAGCCTACCATGAAATTGAATCTTTAAAAGGCTGGATAATCTCGATTTCTCCTAATATCCCAACTCTGACCCCATAAATCAAGGTTCTGGGTCTTGAGTCTGTCACACACACAAAAAGTCTGCTATTCTCTGTTTAGCAGGACAGAAGTGGAGGAGGCAGGTGTGTTCCAAGAACGATGCTTGTGTGTGTGCTGTGCAACGTTGGGCTTCTATGGCCTGACGGCTTATTCTCGTGGCACTTGTTCTCATAGACTTTCTCAAGCATTCAGAGTCCCTTTGAAAAAACCAGGGAGGACACTTGTTGCCATGTCTAAAAGGGCCTAAACAGATAACTGGCTACCCAAAAAGTCCTGTGGATCGTCAGTGAAGCTTGCCAGCAGTAGGAACTGGTATTTGGTAGGCAAAAAGTCCATTAACTGCCAGCTCCTGTCTTACAAATGTCTGATACTATATATAAAACCATAGTAAGGGGTGACCGGTTAGCTCAGTTGGTTAGAGCGTGGTGCTGATAACACCAAGGTTGCCGGTTCGATCCCCACATGGGCCACCGTGAGCTGTGCCCTCCCTAAAAGAGTCAACTGTGCCAATGTAGCATGAAAGCAATGTGTAACCAATGACCATGGCTGTTCCCCAATAAAGTTAAAAAAACAAACACCATTGTAAGCAATTCTGAAAATTCTAGGTCTATCCACAATAAGAACTGAGGTTCTTTTTCTCTAGTTTCTGATTCAGCAGCTCATCCCTCTCCTCATTTCCTTCAGGTATTACTGTCCACAGCCTGTAGGGGTTGAGGGGGTGTGAAAGGGATGCCAGATAATAGGAAGGTGAGTCAAGAGTGGAGCTTGTGCAGGTGAGTGAAAGGAGTGTCTGGGCCATAGCATCCCTCTTTGGCACTCCCCTAAGAGCAGGAAGCAAAGAGATTGTCCAGCCTACTCACAGGAGCAAGTGAGGAACATTGGGAGGAGTGTCCCAGCTGCCATCCTGGCCCCTGAACAGGGACATATGGCTGGAATTGCCAGGACAAGGCAAAAAACTGTCTCAGGACCAGCCCTGCTCCCAGCTACTTGTTGGTGCTCCACGAATAATAACCATACTGCCATCGGGGCCTATTCTTATGTCTCTCTGAGCGTTCCAGCCTCCGACAAGTATGGTCCCCTGAGAGGCACAAACACAGTGTCTCCGGGGGGGGACTGAAAACGAGCAGTCAGGAACCCTATTCGTTGGCTCCTCTAAGTCTGATATGGAAAGACAGGTATCCCCTACTATTGGAGTCTGGATAGCACACTGGAGCCCTGGAGATGGTCCCTCCCTTCCTCTGGTGATGTCCACGTGCTCCTCTGGTGTAGCATTGAGTAACTGCAGCCGCTTCCTTAGCTCCTTTGTATTCCGACTTGATCCTTCCATTAGCTCCCTTACAAACAAGTAGCTGTCTTCCTAGGGATGTTAGTTCATCATTTCGTTTGCTTCCCACCCCTTAACCTGCCTTCTTTCAGTCTATTGGGTGTTACTGACCCCAGAGCTGGTCCATCACACATCCTGGGACAGCAGGTGTCTCTTGGGATCGTGCCAGGCACACCAGGACCTACAGTCATCCATCCCAGATGGATAAGAATGAAACGAATGGCCATGTAGGCTCAGTGTATTGCATCAAAGATTCAGGTAGCTGCTGTCTGCTGTGATCTTTCTGTGGCGTTTCACCGTCTGTACCTCACATCAGCTAGTATTGGCTCCTTACCCCCTTCTTTCCTCCCCATCCCTTTGCCTCCTGGCCTCTTCCTGTTGCTGTCTTCATTTCTGTCACTGACGCCTACCCCTGAGTGCCTGGCGTTCGCTGCGGGCTTTACAACTCACTTACCCTCTCTTTGCTCCATTCCAGAGCTGGTAGCAGCCAAGCCCATTATTCTGGGTTCTAACCTGTTTGGTGGACTTGTTGCTCCACTTCCCCAACCTTGCACTTAGGGCCTGGGCGCTGCTAGGAATTCGGGGCAGGGTGGGGTCAGGGCTGAAAGCCATTCGCTCGAACAAATCCTATTTTATGTCCTATTAACAACTTTACCCTCACGGTGAATGCTTCCCTCTCCACCCCTTTGTAGTTCACCCTTGGGTTCATATCCAAAGATGCCACAGTATCGTCTTTTCCAGGAAAAACCCTGGAAATTTCAGGCGAGAGGCCTGAAGAGCGCTGTTAAGAGCAGAGAACGCTGAGCCCCAGACTGCCCCTTGGCTGCCTCCAGAAGGCAGAGCAGGAATGGCCGTGGCACTGTTTCCGCCATGACCCAGCCAGATGGGGAGGCCAGTCTCTGTGAGGGATGTGTTGGGTCCTGTCTGGCTCAACATACGGTCTGGAGTCTGAGTGGAACAGGAAACTCCTGTCTACTCAGGAGGGTATGTTTGGGACCGGTGTCGTAATTCCCTGAGAAAGCCCCTGCACGCTCCGAGGGGCGCTAGCGCTCGGCAGTGTAATGCGGGGACCACCGGGTGTCAGCTCTAGCCCTCCAGCGTACGCGCATCAGTTTCTCGTCTGTGTCCGTGCCACCACTTCTCGGGACAGGAAGGCACCGCTGGAACAGCTGCAACAGATAGATCGTCAAGTAATCTGAGAAGTGTAGGATCCGTCTTTCGGTTCCGGGGAGTGACCGGCGAGCGCGAGGCAGAAGCGGCCCCAGAAGCTCCCGGCACTGCGGGTCCCCAGCCCGAGACAAAGCTGGCGAGAGCCCGATGGTGGCAGGCCCGAGGAGGACAGGCAGTCGGTTTGCGCTGGACCTGACCCCAAGGGCGGTCAGGTGCAAGGGGGGCGGGAGCGGGGCGGGCCGGCCGGCGGGGCATTTAAACCCGGCTGCTGCCGGCCGGGACGCACCGCTTCGCGCTCTCCTCCGATCCACGTCGCCGCCTTTCTTGGGCACCAGCCAGCAAGATGCGGTCCTCCTTGGCTCCGGGCATCTGGTTCCTCCGCGCCTTCTCCAGGGACAGCTGGTGAGCCGGGCTGGGGAGGGAAGCGCGCCGGCCCCGGGCAGCTTCCCTTCAGTCCGGGTGGCGGACAGGGAGCGTGGGGACCGGGAACCCGACAGCGGGCCACCCCGCAGCATGTGAGCCCAGGCTCCTTCAGCGGCGCCGGCAGGAGGGTGAAAACGGACGGCTAGTGCCTGGGCGAACCTGGACTTGCGGGCCAGGGCACCGAGTCTTAGGTGGTAGTTGCTGAAAAATGGCCATTAGAGGCGTGGAGTGTCCCTTGTGGTCCCTTTTTGCCCTAGGGTAATACAAAGGCCAGAACTCAGCTGTCCTGGGAGCTTGACTTGTGGGGCTCCAGGCCCTGAGGGACGTACAGGGGAGGAGGGTTTACCCCTCAGTCGGGCACTCAGACCAACAATGGGCGAAACACTTCCACAGTAGCTTTCCGCCTGACCAAGGGAGCCCGGAGGAGGCCGCACAAGGAGGTGGCGGAGTGAGGGCGGGCACAGCGCTTTCAGCCCGTTCATCAGAGGCCACATGCTGACCAAGCAGTTTGCTTCCTCTGCACAGTGATTTGGTTTTGTTTTGCTATTGTGTCCATTGCCATCATTTACGAGTTATGAAGTTGAACATAAATGGCCAGATTCCTGACTTCTCTTGAAAAACAGATGATGTAGCAATACCAGGCCTAAATGCCCAAATTATATTCATAGGCCTTAAGGAGTCCCCTTCAGATAGGACAGGTGCTCTTCACATGACCAACTTGTTCTGGTTTGAAAGCAGAAAATCTCGCATTCCCAACCCCATCAGTCCTGGGCACGCCAGGATGGTTGGTCACCCCAGCGCTTTCCTATTGGTGACAGTCCTCATCACTTCCAGCCTTCTTCACTCATGTAGATGATTTATTTGGTCTTTTATGAGTTTGGGACTGTTAAAAAAAGATTTTTTCAGAAAAAGATAAAACCTGACTGTCATAAGGATATAAAACTGTACGTGTGTTAAAGATCTTATTTTACTCATAATGAGGGATGCAGAAGATGTTGTAATCAGTTTAAAAGAAAACCTAGGGAGGGAGGAACGGGAAGCTGTTGGTTCATGGGGACACAGCTGCAGCTGGGGAAGGCGAAAAGGTCCTGGAGATGGATGTGGCCCTGGTTGGACGACAATGGAAAGGGAGTTAGTGCCACTGGACTGTTTAGTTAAAAATGGTTAAAATGGCAAATTGTATGTCATATATATAGATCACCACAATTGTAAGAAAAAAATACAAAGAACGTGCCAATTTATCAATCAGGAATATTAGGGCAAAACTTGGTTTTCCACAGGTTGGGAGGGAAGACTATTGAAATTCTATCAGTTCAGAGACATATGTTGTATGATTTAGTTTCCTACCATTTCAAACCATTGTAAAATGCCCAAGGTCAACGAGAAGCTAGAATCAGATAACCTGGAGAGGAGTCCTCTAGACAATGCCTACTTTTCCAGTGAAACACAAAATTTTTTCTACGGTCTCGCCTGTTTTGATCAAAAATAGTTGCAAAGAAAGATTATTCTGGATCATAAAATAAGGCTGGCCTCATTAGATTTGATCTGATTATATAGGTGCAGTAAGAGTGTTCATTTATAATACAGGCCTTGTTTAGTTTGCTTTGCTGGAAGTTTTCATAAGGAATCTTAGATTGGACATTTTTTTTTCATTCTTTTTTTGAATTTTTAATGAAAGTTTATTGGGGTGACAATTGTTAGTAAAGTTACATAGATTTCAAGGTGTACAGTTCTGTAATACATCATCTATATAGCCTATTGTGTGTTCACCACCCAGAGTCAGTTCTCCTTCAATTGCCATATATTTGATCCCTTTTATTCTTATCTACCACCCCATCCCTCCACCCTCTGGTAACCACTAAACTATTGTCTGTGTCTATGAGTAAAAGCTTGTTATTATTTACCACTCTGAGATTAAGAAGCCAAGTCAAGAAACTCTTTCCAGTAGGTTTTACCTGCTGTATCTATAAATTTGGGCCGCTTCCTCTCTTCTTGAGTTCCCCAAATATTCTAAGTTCCCTGGGCTAGCCAGGGAGTGATGTTTTTTGGTAGTTTGTTTTGTTTTGTTTTTTGTTTTTTGCCTTTAAGAGAACAAAGTAAGCCATTTTTCTTGGGAGTGTTTTATTAGTATTGGCCCCATACAGTCAACCTTCAAAGGAGCTGGTTATATCAGATTAAATGAGCATCATTACCAGTTAGGACATCCCAGGGAAGGCCTTGGTTGCATAACCAATTTGTCTAATTATGCCCTGGTTTAAAAAAGAGAAGTTCAGTAACTTTTCCAAAAAAACATATTGCTATGACAAGCAAGAAGACTCAACAAAAGTTTATGGATTCTGGGGAATCAGGTAGGGAGAATAAAATGTTTCCAAATGTTGCACTTCAGTTTACAAAGACAGAGTCCACCAAATTGTTAGGGGTTACAGATAGCTTAAGAAGAAAGAGACAGGGCTTCTTTATAAATCCAGAAAATAGAATACTAGAACACCATCAATAATAATTCAAACATAAACAACAGCCATCTGTCATAGTTTGTTCAGTCCTCTGTGATTAATTCTTGCTCTGCTGAATCAGGTTAGCGATCTCATAAACTTGTCTGCTTCTTGACTGAAGAGTTTTGGAAATCCTGACTCAGTCCATTGGTATGTCCTTAAAGATGTCCAAGTGATGCCATCAGAAGTGTGACCAAGAGCCAGTGCCTGGCACAGTGCTTTTCCGAGACCGTTCTTGGTTGCTAAAGATAAAACCTTTGACCTATACCTGATTGCAGAGCTATTGGGAAGCATCAGAGCAAAACAAAAACTGTCTGTAGGTGACAGAGACCTAAAATGGCACGGATTAACGTATGACTGATAATTTTCAAAAGGGAGCAATCTGATGAGAAATCATAACAAGAATAATGCAGCTAACAAGGAAATTCGGTTGTTCCAGAAGTATGCAAGACAAAATAAAGCCAATTGCCCCCCACAAAAACATCTAGACAATGGCTGAAAACATAATAAGGCTCATTTCATAGAAGATAGTGAACGTAACATCTGATTTATAAAATGGATGAAAATAGTTTTTATAGAGGAAAAAACCTTGAGATATATAAAAATCCTGAGACATAATTTACGTGGTATACCGAGGATATACCAAAATATCAACTGAAGAGACTCAGTGTATGTCTGGAGAAAGTCCTAAGCATCTGTCTGTTAATAAAAATCCACAGGAAAGTCTGATGTACATTCCCAGGTGAAACCCACTGACCTAGGAAATGTTAGACCCAAAGAAGGAAGGTTGCAGCCCAGTAACATTTTTAAATTGCAACTGAAATCGTGACTGGTAAGACGATGCTGTTATCATCAGACAAAGAACCACCAGTATGCCGATACATAGAAATAAATCATGGACCGAGAAGACACTGAGAAGCCTGCGGGAACTTCTCACACAGCATACACTTTTGGAAATATTTATATAAATAATAACATTTACCTTTATGAATTGAACCTAGAGAGAGGGTTAATAGGTCCTCGGACTTCACAATTATTCCCATGCAGCTGGTCAACAGTAACAACTCAAATAAACCTAATGATTTCTAGCCTCTCTCTTTTTAAAAGGTGAAGAAGCAAAACTGCGATTTTCCAGGGGCCCTCTCAGGCATCTCGGAGATAGTTTTATATCCTGAACGTTTTATTTTATTTTGCATTTAGAATTTGATTTGGGGAAGGCAAAAATCAAAATAAGTTGTTAGGTTTGAATGCTTCTCATGAGTGCCTAAGAAACAGTACTTGTCCCATTGAAAGTGACAAAAATACATTTAAAAATAAACACGGAAGGTAGCATTGTAAAGAAACTTAGCTCTTTCCTAAGGGGGATTTCTTTGTTTTAAAGAGTATGGAAAAATATTCTGGTAAGATATGGAATTTTTGCTATGTAGGCAGATTACACAGGAGATAAAGAGTCACATTTGACAGCTTCTGATTAGGAGCAGGCCAATAACCAATAGTTAAGAACATTTTGTCATTTTTAACAGAGAGAAAACGAAATTCTGTGTTTGCATTGACATAATATTTGATGCTAAAGGAATCACAGCCTTTTTAAAAAAAATAATGTGAATAAGACAAAAACGGAGCCAGCTTTGACAAAATTTCTAACAATTGCTTCTTTCCAGACTCATTATTTGCATACACTGTAACCCAGGGCAAATCAAATTCCCTTTCCACAAACCCTCCAAATTGATTCATTCAGGTTTTGTCCTT